TAATATGCATGTTTTTGTTTATAGTTTTCCACAATGTACATGTTTTCAATTTTCCTTTTTTTTTAACCTGCACAAGAAATTTTGAAAAATGCAAATCCTGAAGGATACTTATAGTATAACTCAGGGGTAGGCAACCTTGGCTCTTTTGTGACTTGTGGACTTCAACTCCCAGAATTCCTGAGCCAGCCATGCTGAGGGAAAAGTGAGAGGTTTCCATGCTGAGCCATGCTGGCTCAGGAATTCTGGGAGTTGAAGTCCAGGAGTCATAAAAGAGCCAAGGTGGCCTACCCCTGGTATAACTCTTGATCCAATTATCAATAAATCTTATTAATAGGGATGACCACAGGGGATCAAAAAAGTAAAGATGATGACCACCATCAAAAGATAAAAGCCCTGTCCCTGCAAAGCATGTTCAAAAGGAAAGCCTTTAATATCGTAATTGGGCTCATCATCATTACTTTTTTAACAGCCTCCCCTCCATCTTGGATGCTCCCGTTTATGAATTTACAAGTGGGAAGACAAGCACAAGCAAGGTATTTTTTTCTTCCAATAACAATTTCTAAGAAATATTGCAAGAGAACTGTAATTCCTAAAGCATGAAGGTAATTTGACACATTATTCAGGAAACAGCTTCATTTACTACTAAGTACAAACAACAATCAAAGCATCAATTCTCCACAAACCCATTTGCTAAGGCTTAGAATAGACTTACAGTATCACAATTTTCTTTGCTTTTCATTTGTTCAATAAGAAACCTGGAGGTGGAGAAAGAATAATGCTACCCCTTTGTAAAAGGAGATTGTTAAAACATTCACTTCCCCAAATGAAATTGTGCATGCTGAATGATTTGCTGCTGAAAGGCTGGGAGAAGAAAAGGATTCTGGCTGCCTTCAAGCATCTTGTGCTATTTATTTTTATTTTGTGTAATATTTTTACCTTGCCCTTTAGACAAAAGAACCCCCAGGACTTATGAAAGTGCAATAACAAAGGAAAAAGCCCTCACAGATTCCTGGTTATATTTTTTTAAAAAATGAAATAGGAAAATAGGAATGCAATCACATTAAAAAAAATAACAACACATAAAATATATTATGTGCTTCTAACAACCAGCTTGAAATGAAGCAGTTTAGGGAGAGGACAAACTAAGGAAGAGTTTCTAAGTTGATCCAAAAAGGCACAGTTGGATGCAATAACTACAGGCAGTCTTTCACCTACAACCATTCATTTAGTGATCATTTGAACTTACAACAGCACTGAAAAGCATGACTTATGACCAGTTTTCACACTTACAACCATTTCCCATGGTCATGTGATCAAAATTCGGGTGCTTGGCAACTGGCATGCATTTACAACGGTTGCAGTATCCCAGGGTCATGTGTTCACCGTTTGTAATCTTCCCAGTTGCCTTGTAACAAGCAAAGTCAATGGAAGAAGTCAAATCTGCTTAACAACCGCACAATTCACTTCACAACTGCAGTGATTTGCTTAACAACTGTGGCAAAAAAGTCATAAAATGAGGCAGCATGATTCACATAAGAACTGTCTCACTTAGCAATGGAAATGTTTTGCTCAGTTGTGGTTATAAACTTGTGACAGTTCTCCAAACTTTTCTGTACATGTGTAAGCTGGAATTATTCTGCCTGGATTATTTTTTTCTCCTGCAGAAGTAAGCACTAGATCCAAAGACAATGAAGAAGCACAGGTGTTCACAAGAAAGCTGATGGAGGAGAGTGGGAGAATTGTAATTTTCCAGGATATGTTTGCAATATACATACAACTTCTGCAATAGTCCATTTAAATGCACCATTGGATTTTTCTTTATTTATTTGCAACACTACTTTTTATATTAAGATTTATATTAAATTAAGATTTATATTATATTAAGATTTGAGGAGCCATGGTGGTGCAGTGGTTAAAATGCAGAATTGCAGGCTAATTCTGCTCGCTGCCAGGAGTTCAATCCTCACCAGCTCAAGGTTGACACAGCCTTCCATCCTTCCAAGGTCGGTAAAATGAGAAACTCAGATTGTTGGGATAAATATGCTGACTTTGTAAACCACTGTAAAGCACCACAGAGTGGTATATAAGTCTAAGTGCTATTGCTATTGCTATCGCTATTTGCTTTGCATGATTTGTCAGAAAAAAGGATTTTGTACTGAAAATTGAAACTTGGGAAGATGTCTTCCTAGCTCATTATTGTCCACATTAACTGTCAGCAAGTCTGTGTGTCTTCATGCAGAACTTCTTTTTAACTCTGCTTAGACTAGCCGGGGATCTACTGCATGCAAATAATGGAGCATTGTTTAGCACTGTACATGCATACATTAAAACTCTCTCTGATGCTTAATAAATTGTATTGCTACTACAGTAAACATCATTTCATGTGCATGTATATGTGCATATGGACACACACACACCAGGAGACTGGATAGAAAATAATTGCTGGGTGCCCTCATCGTACAATCCAATGATAGGGATAAATTTGCAGGGCACAAGTGACAATACCATTTCTTGCCAAATGTGTATAACATTGATGGATTTTATCTACATCGCAGATAAAGTAACTTCTTATAAAGATTAGAAACTCAGAAAAATCACCACTTTTAATTAACTGAATTAAGATGCTATCATTCCTGCATTTGTTTCTACATTTTGATTTGGGTGGTCAGCACACTGCTGCCCAATTACATCTTATACCTCACTCGTGGCATTCTGAATTGATTTTAAAGTGGGTAAATCAAGGTCAGCTCTTGTCAACTTCATGAACACATCCATGTAATTTTCTTGGCAACTGTCTGAAAGTTGTTGGCTAATGCCTACTTTTTAAAAAATCCAGTTTCCCCATTTGCCTTCCAGCCCTAAAATCAAAAAGAGTCTGGTAGCACCTTTTCAAACAACTAATTATATTAAAAGCCCTAAGCTTTTGTCAGCTGCAACTCATTTCATTGAATGCAGAGGCTAACCTGACAAATTATACACAAAAGAATTAATGGACGCAAGTTTGACATCAGAATTCAAAAAAAGGACAAAATGATATTTGAGAAGTACAATCTCCCCTGACACTCCATGGCAGACTTTAACATCATAATTATGTGTTTCTTAACCTTAGCAACTTGAAGATGTGTGGACTTCAACTCCCAGAATTCCCCAGCCAGCTATACATAGCTGGCTGGGGAATTCTGGGAATTGAAGTCCACACATCTTCAAGTTGCTATGATTGGGAAGTGTGACATACATCAAAAGGTTTTGGATTATCTCAAAAAGTCTCAACAAATGCAGTGTTTTTTTTAAAAATACATTATAACTGTTAATTGTTAAGATATTTGGAGATGTGGAAGCTTAGATGCAACTTACTTTCATATTTGGTGGACTTGTAGAAATATAAAAGCTAAGTTTATGCCACAATTATTTTTGTTAGGTGTTATTGTAGATTTTGATGTTAAAGAAATTAATTTGATGTTGAATCTTATAACAGCTGCAAGATTATTGGTGGGGCAATGTTGGAAGAAAGATTCTTTGCCTACTATGGAAGAATGGATACTTAAGGTGTCTAATTTAGCAGAAATGGCAAAAATTTCCACTTATTTGAAGGATTACTCACAAGAAAGATATATTTCGGTTTGGAGAAGATGGATAGATTATATTCAGAATAAATATGAGACTAAAAAGTATTATTTAGCTTATGAGTAAATTTTAGATTATTATTAATAGTTTGATATGGTAGAATTTATATTACTCTTAGTTTTATGGTTTAATTTTTGGCCTCAATTGTGGTGGCAAGTCAAGAACTCTCTGTCTAGATCAGGGGTGTCAAACTGCTGGTCATGTGGAACCCACGCCCATCCCATTGCCAGCAATGGCAAAACTGGCACGATACGTTGCGCGATATCACATGACATCGCGAGTTTGACATGTCTGATCTAGATATTAGAGTTGTATAAAGCATTTAGAAGAGATGCTTCACAATATGTGTTAGTACAGTCAAGTGCTTCTCCTTAAACCATTACAATAGATCCTGGGATCACCAGCAGGAAGAAGACTGAAGGAGCCCACAGGCATTCCAAATAATGCAACTGTCAGTACTTTGTACAAAGTGGGCTGCATGCGCTAACACACTTTGTAAAGCATCCCTCTCAATTGCTATGCACAGCCCTAATAATTTCTTCGGTATAAGGGTGAAATATATCCAAGAAAATAGAAGAATTCATGAATTTGTCACAACGATGCTGTATTTCCCTATGTACCATCCTTCAATCCACTGAGTTGATTGACTCTATATGAAGCACTCCAAATGAATTCTTACTATGTTAAAATGAGGCTTTGAGGTAAGGGTCATAAGAATTATGTTTGCTATTCAGGGGCTATTTTGGACTCCGGGACATAAATCCTGCTGCTACTGAAGACTCTGCATACACAATGACTCCACTCCAAGTCCATCTAAATTATTTTTGCCTATTGATCAATAGAAGAAACTAATGTACTAGGGACATCTAGTGGTGGATATAATTAACTTTCTAAATTCATCTTAAAATACAAACCAATTAGTCGTTTTCTGATGTCATTCTAAGATACTTTCTTTTCTACACTCATTCCTGGCTCCTGAGAAATGCTGGGTTTCCTGTGAGCAATTTATAAACATAGATTAATGTTTGGTTGGGGTAGGAAGCCAACAGAAAAGGCAGAAAAGCAGGCCCAGTTTTTCTTAATAACCCCAAACAGAAACTGAGCAGACCAGCTCTGTAGAAATGCAAATTTGATAATCCCATTCAGAAAGACTGAGGCCCCATTCATGAGCAAATATTATCAGGCAGAAGCCCATTCAAGATAAAGTATTTTGAAATCCCTTGCAGCAAAACTGATAGCTAACAATAGCAGAGTGATAGAATTAGAACCAACAACCCCTCACCCAAAAATCCAATACAGGACATAGCCATCAGCCACAGCCCTAGAGAAGCAGGACATGACCTTTAGGACATAATAGGATTAACCACCACCATCAGAATACCAAAAGGACACACTCAAAAGTTCAGGTCAAAATTCATGTCACAGGAACAGAAACAACTCCAAACACAAAAGCCCAAGAAGGTATAAAAACCCACTACTCCCAGCTCTATGTGGTCAGCTGCCCCAGAGCCACATTTCTGTCTAGTTCTGCAACTCAATAAAGAACTTTCTTTCCAAACAGCCTCTGTTTTAGGTTTATTCCCATCTTGGACTGGACCATGATGAAGATTTTTCTTTCAGCTTTGGTATTATTATTTATTCAAATTTATTATACAGTACTCACCCAACTACATTGGACTCTGGCAGCACAAATGCTCCATTCTTATTCTGTCTGATAATCAACTTCTGGGCTGAATCTCAAAAAATATATGCTTCTCCACTGTTCTTTTGGGAAGTGGGGAGGCATGTATTAAAGGACACAACTGTATTCCAAGAGAACAGCTCGCTTCAAAATGGCCAAACAATTCAGAATGACTAAGTATCTGCCTCTTATCTCCTTTCCTTTGCTACTTTAGGGGGTTGCTTCCCTCTGTCTAATAATGGTGTTGGCTCTGCCATTCGTAATGAATTTAGTAATCTTTTAAGGTGTCTCAGGTTGCTCATTCAAAGGGATGAAACCGTGAGTAAGCTGAGACTGCAAATTCCTTCATTTCAATTCAGCTAATTGTACAAGGGAAAAAAGCAAACCAATGGGAGACTCAGTTTCAAGGCATGCTCTGCAAACTGTGAGGCTCAGCGCCCATTCTAATCCCACTGTGTGCTGCATTTGGTGAAGATGAATGTGGCTGTTATAGGAGGAAACCAAGAATAGGAATGGATTAGCCCCCACTCTCTTAAAAGGAAAAAAACCATATAGGATAGAATATTTAGATTAGGAATAGATAACTTAGTGCATACCAGCTGTTTTGGATTTCAACTCCTATCAGCCTCAGCCAGTATAAATAGCAGCAAGAGATTATGGCAATTATTTAGCCCAGGATCACTGAAGGCACTAAGACAGGGGTCTTCAAACTTGGCCCTTTTGGACTTGTGGACTTCAACTCCCAGAATTCCTCAGCCAGTGTGCACGCTGGCTGAGGAATTTTGGGAGTTGAAATCCATAAGTCATAAAAGGGCCAAGTTTGAAGACCCTTGCACTAAGGGATCTGCTCTGATTACCAATCTATGGTTGTGATAGGTGGAACATGGAAAATGGTCACTGCAAGATATTTTGCTTGTTGGGGACAGAACCACAAAGGCTGTTTTCAAGGTCATTATGTGCAAGTGAAAAGACATACTGTCCTGATTACTGCATGTAGGAGTCTTTAAAGGAGCCATTTTAACAGCTTAAAAAAAGCCTAGTTCTCCTTTGATCTGTATTGGTATCCTCTTGATTTCATGAAGACACCCATTTGGTTTTCTGGACCATAGTTTGGAAGTGGTTTGATTTTTCTTCTTCTAGGATGCTTTTTTGATGTTCTAGTCTCTACTGCAGTTCTGGTAACTTCTGGTGGACTTTCATCTCAATCCTAACAAGGCTGAACCTTGCTTAGCTTTCTGAGCTCAGCCAAGGTCAACCAATACATTAAATACATTAATCATATGTTAAAGCAAATCTAATTCGTGCTGCTATGAAATTGTTTATTCTTTTAACTAGGAATTACATATGAGGAATTCATTGGGATTGGCACATGAAAGTTGCCCTTATTTGGAGAGTTTGGGAAGTGGGGAGATTACCATGACATTTCTCCCCAGGTCTTAGCAGTGGATTTCCAGAAGATTTATGAATTAGTTGCACAAATATTCATGCTGCAGTTGTGCCCATAATAATAGATGGGACTGTGATTTAAAAATAAAGATCTATTTCCTACTGTTGAAAAGAGGTGATCAGTTCAGATCTGCAAAGCTGCATAAACGTTTCACCTGGTCATTTCTAAAGTTCTATTAATATGGAAATGTTACTCAATTGCTATTAGTATTCTGTCCTGCTATTCCTCAATGCCTCCTGCTTGATCATACGACTGGTTTCATCTTCATCAACTCTCAAAAGAGATTGCTGCAAAATGGCCAAATAATGAAGTCAATGAACAAGGAAGTTCTAAATAGCAAAGGTACACATGCTAGGACTGTGACAATAATGTGTTTTTTTTTTAAAAAAATGCAACAAAAAATTGGTGTTTTTTTTTTAAGAACTGTGGTGATTTTCAGCAACACCAGATTGGCTTGGAATATCTGAGCAGGGTTACCTTTTATTTCTTCCATTCTGTGGAATAGCAGGTAACTGCAGCTCATGAAATATTACAGCATATGTGCTGATACTACAGCAGCTATGATCTATGGAAGAGAGCACCATACACCAACTAGTGGATAATGAGATGCTGCACTAGACATAGCATGGATTCAGGAACCCTGCTAGCTAAATATGCAGCTCAGATACATTTCAATACTGCAAATGCACTCATCAGATAGATTAACAAAGAAGCATGTTTACAGAGTATGGAATAACAGAGTTGGAAGGATCTTGGACCTAATTTAACCCCCTGCTCAAGCAGGAGACACTATATCATTCTGGACAAATGACTGTCCAATCTTTTCTAAAAATCTCCAGTGATGGAGCACCATCACTGTGTTTTGCATTGATTTCATATGTGTTTTGCACTGATTTCATTAATGTATTCTTCCAAAATTCATTGATATTCTAAAAGTGAAAATAATTTCCACTTAATCAGTGGAACAACTTGAGTCCAGAAGTTATGGGTGCTCCAACACCGGAGGTTTTTAAGAAGAGATTGGAGAACCATGTATCTAAAATGATATATGAGCAAGGGGTTGGACTAGAAGACCTCCAAGGTCCCTCCCAACTTTGTTATTCTGCTATAGTTGTGAAAATGTGAGCATTTTTCTCATCCTTTCCTTAGTGGCTTTAGCCCCATTTAAAAAACAACGAAATAGTGTCCAAGGTGGGTAAGCAGGATTGTGCTGTATATGGTAACAGATATATTTTTAAAAAGTTCTCCTACTCCACCATTGAGCCAGTGAAAATCCATCAGAAGTGGCCAGCGACAAGGGAAATTTTCATCAACCTCATCTATCATGTGGCCCTTAAAGAGAAAGAATATTATGAATAATGCTATACCAAGTTCAAGAACAAATGAAAGCAATAGAAAAATAACTAAGTCTGGAGTTGAAGCAAGGACTCATTCTCTTTTTAAAAACACACACATCTAAGCAATAAATCATTGGAAGAAATGTGGATTTTATAAATGGGCTGGAATACTCCCTAAACCTTTTGCAAGAGGAATTCTACGCTCCTATTAAAAGGTTTCCATCACAGTATTCTGTCCTTCCTGTTCCACTCCTAGATGAACCCACAGGAGAACATTGCGGTTTAAATTGCCTCTTCTAAATATGCTGCTAAACCGAAGAAGCAGCATTGCTTTGCACCCCGAGTTCTAGGGCGAACCCTCTTTCTCTAGCAGCCTTCCCAGGTTTTTTCAAAGAAAGGGAAACGAGGTGGCGGATTCCTCTCTTCTTGGTCATGGGCCAAGATTGTCCAATAGAGATTGAGGGTTCCACTCCTAACAGTGAGAATCTAATTCTGTCATGGGGAAGAGATGATGGCCTGGACACTTTCTTTGAGGCAAGTCTTCATCTGGACAGGCAAGCTGATGGAACCTCTGAAAAGAGAAATGGAGAGACGACAAAAACTGATGGGTGGAAAATACTGCTGTTTACCAAGAAAATCAGAGAATCCACGGGTAATCCTCAACTTACAGCCACAATTGAGCCCCAAATTTCTGTTGTTAAGTGAGGCTGTTCTTAAGTGAGTTGTTAAATGAATCATGTGGTCTTTAAGTGAATCTGGCTTCCCCCCATTGACTTCGTTTGTTTGTCAGAAGTTTACCAATGGTGATCACATGACCTCAGGACAGTACAATTGTAATAAATACCTAAATACATGCCAGTTGCCAAGTGCCCAAATTTTGATCACATGTCCATGGGGATGCTGCAAGGGTCGTACGTGTGAAAAACAGTCATAAGTCACTTTTTTCAGTGCCGTTGTCATTTCGAATGGTCACTAAACAAACGGTTGTAAGTCAAGGATTACTTGTAGTTCTGTCTCACTCGATCCTTTTGTGAATGTTTAAGGGTATGCCTTGTGCAAGTTAGTTTAGTTTATTTTTTTTATTAAAAGTTTTAAAGATTTTATACAATATATATCCCAAATCCCTCCCACCCTCCACCCCACTTCCCAGAGCTGATTACAGGGTTACAAATAAACAAACATAATCTAACTAACATTACCCAAACTATACAAACAGTCAAATCCATAACATGCTTTAACTCCTTTTCAAAATAAGTATTAACAAATTAAATACGAAAATAATATAATTAAACCATAAAACTAAGAATAATATAAGTTCTACCATATCAAACTTTGGTCACCACGATGTAAAAAAGATGTTGAGATTCTAGAAAGAGTACAGAGAAGAGCAACAAAGATGATTAGGGGACTGGAGGCTAAAACATATAAGGAACGGTTGCTAGAATTGGGTATGTCTAGTTTAACGAAGAGAAGGACAAGGGGGGATATGATAGCAGTATTCCAATATCTCAGGGGCTGCCATAAAGAAGAGGAATCAAGCTATTTTCCAAAGCACCTGAAGGCAGGACAAGAAGCAACGGGTGGAAACTAATCAAGGAGAGAAGCAACCTAGGACTAAGGAGAAACTTCCTGGCAGTGAGAACAATTAATCAGTGGAATAGCCTGCCTCCAGAAGCAGTAAATGCTCCAACACTGGAAGTTTTTAAGAAGAGACTGGACAGCCACTTGTCCGAAATGGTGTAGGGTTTCCTGCCTGAGCAGGGGGTTGGACTAGATGACCTCCAAGATCCCTTCCAACTTTACTACTATTACTATTACTAATAATAATCTAAAATTTACTCATAAGCTAAATAATACTTTCTAGTCTCATATTTATTCTGAATATAATCTATCCATCTTCTCCAAACCGAAATATATCTTTCTTGTGAGTAGTCCTTCAAATAAGCGGAAATTTTTGCCATTTCTGCTAAATTAGACAAGTTAGTTTAGTTTATTGATTAGCCCATAGGCCATATCAAAGTGCAGAGTTCCAAACATATAATATTAACAAGGGTTATGCCTTGTGCAAAAATTAGCAGTGGATATATTTTTGATTCATTTCTATCATACCTCCTCTCCAAAAGCATAGAAATGGATTTAAGCCTTGAACGGCCAACCTACAGCTAACCCTTGATTTAGAACCATCCATTTGGCGACTGTTTGAATTTACAATAGCCCTGAAGAAAGGGACTTACAATTGGTGCTTGTACTTACAACCATTGCAGCACCCTCACAGCCATGTTATTAAAATTCAGACACTTGGCAAGAGCCTTTACAACGGTTTCAATGTCCATGGATCATTTGATTGCCATTTACAACCTTCCCAGCTGACTTCTGACAAGCAAAGTCAATGGGGGAAGCTGAATTTGCTTAGCCATCGCATAATTCACTGCAGTAATTCACTGAACAATTCTGGCAAAAAAAGGCTGTAAACTTGGACCTTGCCTAGCAACAGAAATTCCCATCCCAACTGTGGTTATAAGTTGAGGACTAAAGGTATTGAATATGGTTTCTACTGAAAAACAGCTACTGGTCCAGTGTCATTCCCTGGATCCTAAAACTGAGTTGAATTCATACCAAACACTGGAGTTCACAAATTGCTCTTTCAGTTAATTATTTCCAGAAGGAACCTTTCCCTGAAACGGTGGAGCTTCAACATATCTTTTGGTATTCATTTTCAACCAGAATAAATACAGTTGTAGCATTTCTGGGTGATTACTCTGGGACAATTTAATCTTGAATAAGATCGCTGAATCTTGTTATTTGAAATGCAGCACTAGTTTTTAAAACAAAAAATAAAAAAACCTCTCCCGCATAAATGATACAGATATTTCTTTTACAGTAGTTCTATACTGGATACTCCTTATAATCAAAGGAAACCAGTTGCAAATGTCACACAGGAAATAAGATATTTGACTGAAAATCAATAAGCATAGGAGAGAGAAAGAAATGATGGAATACCGCTAAGCTAAGTTCTCAGTTGTGACATTGCTGAAATATTATACAGCTAATAACAAACACCCAGAAAGGCAATTTAGATTGTGCAGCCCTCAAGCCAACTCAAATCCAATAAAGCCACTGGTTCTTGCCAGTAACAGAGTGATTCCTAGCAATTTAGTGCAAGGTCCCCATTCCTTATTTTGGAACAGAGCAGTGCTACCTCTGAAGGCCTATCAGTCCTGGAGAGTAGGCAGGCTTCCTGGCTCAGCCACTTTGCATCCCAGTCCCCAGCCTAAAAATGCCAGTCTTACCTCTCTCAGGGATCCTTTAATGGTGGAAAGTTTGTAGACAATCCAGAGAGGGATGCAGATCATTGAAGAGAGTGCAAGCAGCCAGCCGACAGTGTCTCCCCACCACGGGTACACATATTTCTTGTTGTATGTCAGTGGGGTATATTTAATCAAAGAAAAGAAAAAGGTTGCCTGGAAAGATTGAGCGAAGGAGGAAGCATTAGATGCACCAATCTTTAATGAACTACTTTGCTAGATTTTGTGCTGATCAGAATAACATAATCCCTGATACTCAACTTGGTGAATACTCAACCTGGTGAATATAGATCAGTGGTTCTCAACCTTTTTAATGCCGCGACCCCCAACCGGTCATAAGTCAAGGACTACTCAACTGGTGCAGCACCGTTTGCAGAATGGGACTTTTGGCGGGCTCAACAGGGCAGGGACAGCCTGGACAATTCCTATTGGCTTTTGAAAGCCAATAGAATTAGACTCTATTCAAGAGAGTCTATTCTATTGGCTTTCAAAAGCCAATAGAATAAAAGGGAGTAGCACAGCTAAGGAAAAGGGGAAAAAATGGCGGACGGCATTGTTTGGCGACCCCCGTGAAATGGTCGTTCGACCCCAAATGGGGTCCCGACCCACAGGTTGAGAACCACTGATATAGATAGTCCTTGACTTATGATGATAACTGGGACCAGACTTTCTGTTGTTCGGCAAGGTGTTTATGGAGTTGCACCCAGTTTTGTGACCTTTTCTGCCACCGTTGTTAAGCGAATTATTGCAATTGTTAAGTGAATCAGGTGGTTGTTAAGAGAACCCCATTGACTTTGCTTTCCAGATGATGGCTGGGAAGGTCGCAAATGGTGATCACATGACCCCAGGACACTGCAACTGTCATAAGTACATGCCAGTGGCCAAGTGTCCAAATTTTGATCATGTGATCATGGGTGTGCTGTGACAGTTGTAAACATAAGTCATTTTTTCATTGTTATTTTTGAATGGTCATTTAATGAATGATCGTAAATTGAGGACTGTCTGCATCGGGAATACTTTCCTAATGATTTTGCTAATAAGACCCAAGAGTCTATGGACATGATCAGGGTCTTACAAATTGGTAAGACAAAAGAAATTGAGATTGGGAACCTGTTTCTGGACATTTTGTCCTTTCAACGTAGCTTGTGGTATTTTAAGTTGGGCAGGGAACAACAATCTGCACATAGCGCCTTGGTGGGAGTTTTTAACTCAGTCTTGAATCCTGGCAACTGCCTGGACAAGTCCCTGCAGTGTTCTTGACAAACTTTTCACCTGTATTTGCCATTTTCTTCTTCCTTCTGATGGAGACCGAGTGGCCCCAAGACTCTCAGCTGGCTTCGTGCCTAAAGTGGGACTAGAACTCACAGTCTCTTGCCTAGAACCTTTAACCACTACACCAACCTGCCTCTCATGTATGCCAACTAGAACAGTGGTTCTCAACCTGTGGGTTGGGACCCCATTTGGGGTCAAACGACCATTTCACGGGGGTCGCCTAACAAGGTTGTCCGCCATTTTTTCCCCTTTTCTTTGGCCACGCCCCTGGCACCCGGTGCTGTATAAGTGGTTGGGGGGTCACCACAACATGGGGAACTGTATTATGGGGTCGCGGCATTAGAAAGGTTGAGAACCACTGAACTAGAAGGTGTCAAATAACACTGCACTATCTTTCATCCTTAATTGTGATGCTTAAGGATGAAAGTGTTTGCTTGCTTTGTTCATTTTTTTCTTACTGACATTAGGTTCTGTAAGAATAGACTTTGCAGACTTCTATAGGCCCCATATATAATTAGGAGTACTGAAGGTGAAAAGATCTAACATTTAAATACTGGCAGACATTTACATGGCTGTGGGAGACAAATAGCAACGGTATCAACCACCACCAAAATGAAATGGTATACCTAATTCAGATGTGTACCTATTCAGTTGGTGCATACAATTGTTCCTTTCAGGCCATCAGCCAAGTTGACAACACTTCTGAATCAGAATCAGAATAGAGGTGGAAGGGACATTGGAGATCTCCTAGACCAGGGGTAGGCAACCTTGGCTCTTTTATGTCTCATGGACTTCAAGTCCATGAGTCATAAAAGAGCCAAGGTTGCCTACCCCTGGTCTAGACCAATCCCCTTCTCAGGCAGGAGACCCTATACTATTTCAGACGGGTGAATTCTGAATGAATGTCCTATTTCTAATCATTATCACCCAAATATACACTGGTTCCAGAGTCCATCTGCTGCATCTATGCAGGAGTCACAATGAGTTTCCAAAATTGGGAGACCCCTTTGAATGTGTGCTTCTACTGCTGAAGAACTGATCTTAAGCACATAACTGACTAAGTTAAAACTTCACTGATGGGATTTATGCAAATTTTACTTTTATCTGTTCTCTTTGGATTGTTTCTATTTCCATTCCCACCATGACTTCCTCCTACTTCTTTGTTGCCTGACAGCAGCCACAAGCAGTGGTCAAAGTCTCTTTTGCCCAAGAGTCCAACCCATTTTCCTGGGCACCCTCTGGATTGGTCTCCAGATCAAGGTGTCCCACTTACCAGACAGACAGCTGGTGTTATGAATAACCAACAGTACTTAATAACAGACCATGGTCGGTAGCCAATCATGTCTTCGATGTTATTGTAGAAACGGTCAGCACCTGTGAAAAGGGGAAAAAAGAACAATAGATGGTAAGACAGGCAGAACAAGTCTGCTCTTTACAGCTATGGAACAGAGAAGAGAACCAGGATCAAGAAAATAAGAAGCACAGCAGACTAAACAGAAAGGTATTAGCAAGGAGAAGCCACTGAAGCAAAACAGTGAAAAGCAGTTTCTCAAGGTCAATTAAATTGGCAATATAAAACTGATAATTTCTTTTCTTATATTGGCTTCTTATAGGCTCAGAGTACTCAAGGAAAAACTTGACTTCCTTTTCTCTCTGGGGTACTCTGCATCTGCTCCAGAATCTTTTCCAGAAATTCCCTCAGTCTTTCAAAAGGACTTGAAGAGCACAAGGAAAAATGAGGGAGGAATTGCCTCCTTATAATTCTGCTAATGAAAGCAGTTGCACCCATGTGAAACCAATATTGGATTCCATCTAGTGTCCTTCTGCCTACTCATATCAAATATGAAACTAGATAAGAAGATAATTCTGGAGATTTCAACAGAACAGAAGTACTAGTCATGGAAAAGTTCAGGGATAATTTTCCAGCTCCAGAGATGTTCTAGACTGTCTTTGACAGGTATCTTGAGATACCTAGCTCTATGTATGTGATTGCTAACAGTTGAGCCCAATGTGATGACACATAATCAATAAGACCTGTTTCCTGTTGCAATTGTACTTACCATATACCCAGCCAATGCACAGAGTCTCAAAAATGGCAACGAAGAGTAGGCACATCCCACTGGCAGCATAGTAGTCAAAGAGCTGGAAGACATACATCCCACCCTAAAGAGGGGCACATGTCCAGACAGTGGGGATTGGGAAAGAGATGGAGGAGAGAGAGTTTAAAAATGTGATGATTAGATGAATGTCTTTTACACTGCCAAATACCCAAGCACTGAATTGATTTTATATATAATTCTAGCAACCTGTGAACCCTTGAGTCATCCTTTCAGAGATATATCCATACCAGATACCTCAGTGCCTTCAGCAGTGATAGAACTTTTAATGTACAGCCTTCACTGGAAAAGTTGGGATACAGAGAAGTACCTGACTTGAGAATGGGCTATCTCGAACTGTATTACACACTCAAATATCAAGACAGGAAATGTTTTTAATGTTTTAACCGTAAGCTTATTTGGGACACTACACATCCTCTTCACCACCTGTTTTCCTTGTTACCTTCTGGGAGGAGGCTTCATGGTATCCGAAGTAGAACATCCAGATTCAGCCAGAGTTTCATTCCACACAGCATTAACCTTGCGAACTCTCAAGCTTCCTCCTTCTGTTATATATTCAAGATGGACAGTATTTAATATTTATTTGCTACGTATATGTAGGGATGTGAGCCGAGGTGGCGCAGCAGTTAGGGTTCAGTACTGCAGGCCACTTTAGCTGACTCTGTTCAGCAGGTCAGCGGTTCAAATCTCACCGGCTCAAGGTTGACTCAGCCTTCCATCCTTCCGGGGTAGGTAAAATGAGGACCCAGATTGTTGGGGGCAATGTAAATATATATATACATTGCTTACTGGTGTACACCGCTTAGAGAGTGCTTGCACTTAAAGCGGTATATATAAGTCTCATAAATAAATAAATAAATAAATGTGGGTCTATACATATGTTATTCGTAGTATGTTTAGATATGTGTCATGTATGTGTTTCACTTTGAGAACGGGCAACTAAATTTCATTTTTGATGTGTGCCATCATGCCCACAGTATAAAAATGACAATAAAGGTTATTTTATCTTATCTTATTTTGTATTATGTCATAAACTGTTTTATGACAAATTTTATGTCAGAAAATGCTTTATAAAATTTATAAAATTTTATAAAATTTGCTAATTTTCAATTCCATGGGAATCATGGGTCCCAGATGTTGGACACAATCTGTACATTGGCCCATTTGAGGTACCTTGGCTGAAAGGTTTCGCTCTATAATGCAACCTGTTGCCCATGTCAGAACTAATTCTTCCATCCCTCTCAACCATCCAGCCAGAACTGATGAAGCTTCTTGGCTGAGAAGTGAAATGTTTTTTTTCTTCCTCAAGGAAAAAGGAAAGAAAAAAACAACAACATAGTCCAGTTGCCTTTTGAAAAAACATCTTTGAGACAACCATGACTTGGATGATTGAGAATCTCCATAGACAAACGTATTGCCCATTTAAAGATTATGAAGACAAGAGTTTTAGCAGTATATAGACAACTTTAACCTTGAGACTTCATTTCCAGAAATATCCATTCAGGAAATTATAATTCTCATTTTTAACACATGTTCTAGTGTTTTCCTAGACATGTTTTTCTCTTAAACTAAAACTACTTGTGGTGATTTAATAAGCTTTCAGTTCCTACTTTGTTTCCACTGGTAGAAAGCACCAAGTGGGAGTGAATGAGCAGTCCTCTGTTTATACATATTATACCGGGATTCTGACTATTTTCTCTCTATTTAACTGGTATTTGGAGAGCCTGATAACTCAATGTATCTAAAGATAGCCTGTTATTCATTTCTAGTATCAATAGAACCATCTGTCTTCCCTACCTCTGGGTGTTCTTCTCCCCTTTGTGATAGAAAGTTTCTGAAAACTAGCTTACGCTAAGCTGGATCATTTTTTCAATCCCCATATCTAGCAAATGTTTCTTCCCCCCCCCCCTCTCTCTCTCTCTCTCTCACACACACACACACACAGAGTACATACACATGCATACCCAAGTCAGAGATTGTATCTTAAACCTTGTCCCCACGTACATTCCAAAGACAAGTCAAGTTTTCACAAGAATGCCATCTTCACATATTTTAAGTTTCTTATTACCATGAGAAGGAGTGAAAAAAGAAGTTATATTATGGGAATGCAAAAAATATACAGAGAGATGAGATAGGGATAGGGATAGGGATAGGGATAGGGATAGATGGATGGATGGATGGACGGACAGATGGATGGATGGACGGATGGACAGACATATAAGTGTCCTCCTGGAGAAAATGTGAATTCTTGAGAACTGCATCTACAAAGCTACTTTATGCGACTCTGGCAAAATTGGTTCTGTGCTCTCTCTCACATTTTCATCCAAAGGACAGTAAATTGACTTCAAAAGTCAATAGGGAATAACATAAAAAGCAATTCCAGCTAAATCACAATGTACCGATATATGGGATTCAAATTATTTCTCAGCTTTAGTTTTAGATTTCAGCATCAAAGCATTCGTCTCTCACAGCAGAGTAGAAATGAAGACGCAACTGTTGCTATGCATAAGATTTCAGAGTGTCAGATGGCAATTTAAGAATTTCTAGCCTGCCTTGGTATGGAGAAAGTGAACAGGGAGGCATTTTTTTCTCCCTCTGTAACAGAAGTCATACTGAAAGGTTATCAAATACAGTTGAGCAATGTGACGTTCAGGACAGAGCATTTTTCATAGAAGCATTTTTAACCTGTGGAACTTCATCTGAAGTTGGGGCAATGACTACTAATTTGGAAGGCCATAAAAAGAGATTAGACAAATTCATGGAGACATAAACATGTTTTTTTTTTTGTAGAAACAGAGGCAAAGTATTTCTGAATAACAACTGCTAGAGAGTACAAAGGAGGGGACGATACAGTTGCCATCATGTTATTCCCTCCCCCCAAATCTAATTATGATTTGCTCCAGTAAAGAAACATGGTGCTGTAAAACAAATCAGTTCACTTATTATCAAAGTTTATTACTATAATTACGTATTATTTCTAGGTAAGGTAGAAAGACAAATATACACAAACACACACACAAACACAAACACAAAGTTGTAAATTGAGGCAGAACCCACATATTTTGGACAACTGCACAGGACACAATGGCTAAGGCACTGCTCCATAGGACAACAATCTCATTTATCCCTAATAAGGGAGGAATTGATCCCAAAAACAAGGGAAATAAAATACAGTAGCAACTCATTTAGTGACCATGGGAAATTACAAGGGCACCGTAAACAGCGATTATGAATATTTTTCACATTTATAATCTTTGCAGCAACCCCAGGATCACGTGATCAAAATTAAGATATTTGGCAAATGACTCACATTTATGACAATTGCAGCGTCCTGGGACATGCAGCCACCTTTTGTGACCTTCTGACAGGCAAAGTCAATGGGGAAGCCAAATTCATTTAACAACCATATTATTAACCTAACTGCAGTGATTTGCTTGACAGCTGTGCAAAAGAAGGTTGTAAATGGGGCAAAATGTACTTAATAACTGTCTCGCTTAGCAACCAAAATTTTGGGCTCATTTGTGGTCGTTAAGTCAAGGACTACCTGTAGGACTGCGGATAAAGTCCTGTAATGCTCACCCTTAAAAGGCCAGCCTACATTGCTTGTCACATCCCTCAAACTTCCAGGAATCCTGCTGCCAATCCAGCAACAAACCATGAAATTACAAAGCTGTTTTTCAAAAAGAAAGAAAAATAAATAAAAGCAATGGGGGAAGGTTGTCTGAATAGGTTTAACACGCTTGAGATGGGTAAACACCATCAATCGCCAAAGGCAATGAAAACCCCAGGTCTGCCAGCAGAAGAGCAGGCTGCTCTTAGAAAAATTGCTTCCCTCCCCTCTTATTTGAGCTTTTTTTTCCAACACAGCAGAGTTTGCCTATAAAGAGTTGCCTATAAAAGCTGCAACCTTGAAACAGGTGTGGGAGGAGATACCTGTTTTGGAAGGTATTTTTACAGAAGAATAAAAGAAAGTATTCTTTTACAGCTGAGTAAAAGAAGGCATTTTCCCTTCAAAGGGTGTGGATGGTCCAGACCAGGGGTAGGCAATCTTGGCTCTTTTATGACTCGTGGACTTCAACTCCCAGAATTCCTGAGCCAGCCATGCTGAGGGGCAAGGGGGAGATTTCCAAGTTCAGCCTTGCTGGCTCAGGAATTCTGGGAATTGAAGTCCACGAGTCATAAAAGAGCCAAGATGGCCTACCCCTGGTCCAGACAGAGGAAAAAGAAGGATGGAGATACAGCAAAGCCCAAGCTGGAAAGATGCAAGTACTCTTATCAAAAAAAATCAAAAGAAATCCCAGAAAAAGAGAGGAATTAAGGCAGAAGGCAGAATGGGATTTCTAAGAAGAAAACATTGCTCGGATGAGAAAGAAAAAATGTAAGAGTACAATAGTTATACTGTAGTATAGAGCATGGGTGTCAAACTCGCCACGTCACATGACGTGTCGCGATGTATTGCGACTCTTTTTGTATTGTCAGCAATGGGCTGGGTGCAGCTTTGGTATGATGAAACCGGCCCATGGGCCAGCAGTTTGACACCCCTGGTATAGAGAAAATATTATAATAGTGATTGACTATATTATAATAGAGTACAACGCAATTTGAGGCTGGGTTAGCTGAAGGAAAAGCCCTTTTACTCAATCCTGGTTACTGATGGCATTCACAATTTATTTTATTCATTCATTTATATCCTGCCTTTTTGTTTTTATAAATAACTCAAGGCTATGGGGTCCGAGCTGCTCTCTGAGCTTGGTTGTTTTCTTTCATTACCTAATTAGGTAATATCATCAGTGTGCTACTTTGGTAATGAAACATCTGCAAGAAAACAATCAAGCTCAGAGAGCACCAAGGACCCCACAGTTCAGCCCTGAGCTACAAATATTCCCTTCTATAGATAACTCAAGGTGATGAGCACACACAATACTCCTTCCTCTTATTTTCCTCGTAACATCAATCCTATGAGGTGGGCTGGGCTGAGAGAGAAAGTGGCTGGCCCAAAATCACCCAACCAGTTTTCATGAGTAAGGCGGGACTAGAACTCACAAT